ATCTTCATTAATACTTATTATTATTTCTTGCCTCCACTCACACAACGTGGCAGCAGATAGACAGGGCCTTCTTCCTGCTCCCTGCCACAGCCTTTTATACTACTTGCATTCTTCTCCTAGCTATCCAGCTGGTGAGCTAATTACCTCATTAACTCATCAAATTCCCTACAGGTGCAGCTGATCCCCACTAACCCTTCAAATCCAATCAGACCACCTCGCTGCTGCCTACTCTAACTATACCCAGTGCCCTGTGTTATTGAAGTAACCAGGATGCTAACAGAACCTTGTTACAAGGATCTTTTTTCCTTTCCAGTTCTGTGATTCCCAAATAATGTGACACACAGAACTTGCTTCTAGCTATATATAATGCTATAAGAATACATATACAATCACACTTTTATGTACGTGCATATACCAGTACACGTATCTAAATATAGTAATATAAAGAAAATGGGTTTGAAGCAGTTAGGGTTGCTACAGACATAACATACCTGACTGAAACGCATGAGAGCAAGGAAATGAAAAGTTAAGTGACCTAACACACCCTCTTCTCTTTCATCCACAGACACGCACCTTACCATTACCGTAACTACCACATACTGCAGCCTTGCCGCTGTCCCCCTCAATACTCCCTGTACCCCACACCTTTACCAAACTATCATCTCCTAGCAGGGTTAGTTGTGGATGTTTCTCATGGTGTGATGTGCTTGGAGAGGACATTCTGGTAGAGGGAGCGATGGAAGGCTGGCAGCCCTCGAGGGACAGAGTCAGTTGTAATGCCTGCTCAACAAACCTGTTGTGTGAGTTCCAACAAGTCATTTCACCTCTCTGCTCCCGTCCTCCTGCCACCTCTCGGCTGCCTTGTCTATTGAGATGTGTGACTCTTTCGAGCAGGGGCTGTCTCACTGCGTGTGTGTACACTGCCTACCACACTGGGGACCCAATTTTGGTTCGGCCACTACTGTAATATAAACCAACAACAACATTACAATTTCAAACTCTGATATATTGTGACTCTCTGACGGTGGAAGCAAATGTTGTGTGTTCCACTGGAAAGCTGGGACCTTACACTGATGCACGGCTGATTTGTTCCTATCCTGAGCCTTGGGCAGGTGCAATTTTGCAGGTTAAATCCCATCCTGGGGGGGAAAACAACATTTCTCTGGCAAACTGATGATAAATAAGAAGGCAACTGACTGAAAATGAAAAACAGTCACTCAGATACTGTGGTGGTGGCATGGTATGAAAACAGAGCAGTGCTCCTCAGGTGTTAAAAGCTAGTCTTGGCAAAGTTAGATTATCCCTGGAAAAGGTGCTCTCATGAGACTTCAGGTACATCCTGGTTTGGCTGGGCTGGAAACACTGTTGGCCAAATCCTCTCCCCAGTACAGGGAATTCTGCTGTACTTGGGGTGGAATGGAATCCTCTTCCCCAGGCCACATAGCCACAGAACAGCTGTTTTTGCACTCCCAGGACTATGATTCTGCTGTTTACCCGCATCATCTGTAATTCTACTGCAGTTCTAGAACGGTCAGCTCCGTCAAGTTATTTAGTAGCGACTTAGCTTTACGCCCATGTGCAAAAACGAAATGTATTACAATAAAACAGAAAACGAAATCCAAAATTATAAAATGTTAAAATACATATAAAGAGAGATTAAAAAGAATATAAGCTGTTAATTATATATAACTACCGCACCACTTGCTTCTCCTTATAGTACTGGCTGGCCACACAAATAGGGCAACTGCTCAGCTCACAGACACATTGTCAGTTCCTAACAAATATTCTGTTTTTTGAGAGGTCATAGAAAAAGGCATCTGGGACAAAAACATTGCAGAGCCATATTGACCTTAACTGGCAACATAAATTCCAACATAACAAATAATGGGGTAGGTCTTCTACCTGCCCTGAGGCACACTGACAAAGGCATTCTACAGCAAATATTCCTTCTGGAAAAAAGTAATGGATTTGGGATCAGGAAGGAATTCCTCGGCGCCCCCCCCTCCCCCCCCCGGATCAGACAGGCAGATACCCTGGGGGATTTTCACCTTCCTCTGCAGCATGAGGCATGGGTCACTTGTAGGTTTAAACTAGTGTAAATGGTGAACTCTCTGTAACTTGAAGGCTTTAAACCATGGTTTGAGGACTTCAGTAATTCAGCCAGAGGTTAGGGGTCTACTACAGGAGTGGGTGGGTGAGACTCTGTTGCCTACAGGAGGTCAGACTAGATAATCATGATGGTCCCTTCTGACCTTAAAATCTACGAGTATCTTACAGGCTAATTTCTTCCCTTCAATGTACACACCTGGCTTCCACTAACTCCAGTGAGACCTCTGTGAGCCACTGGGGGCAGGATTTGCCCTTCTATTTGTGGCTAGGTCATATTAAAGATAGAACTGAGTCTCAAAATCAAAAGCTCTGTATCTCAGCTCCCTTGAAATTTGGAGAAGTTTGGCCTGTGCTATGTGTTTAGATGCCTGTATTAAAATAAGCATTTAAGATCTGCAGTGGGTATACAGAGATGGTAGGTTGTAAGACTTTAGGTGCTGCATGCATTTCAGTGCTGCACAGTGTGGAATCAAGACTCAGACGCTTCAGCACAGTTGTTGGGATTAAAGCACACCGAAGTCTGCAGCAACGTGCTATAAATATATATTTGAGCACTGAGCCAACTGCATAAACTCGGAAGCAGCCTGTTTCATTCGAAGGGTTTGGGTCAGCAAGAGCCTGAATTTGAGTCTTGGAGGCACATGCACAGCAGAGCTGGCCCCACCAGGGATGGATCACTGATTGACAAGGGCAAGGCCCGTCTTCAGTTGAATATTGCTCCCGCTTAGCTCTCAGTACTGAGGGCATTCAAAGGCAAAAAGAGACAGTGAAAAGGGTAAGGCAGAATACAGGGGAAACACAAAATGTGAGATCATCACTTTGGGTATTTTGAAAACAAATGTCTAGCTTGGAGTGAGGGATGTGGCTGACCTTAGCAAGGATCCACTCTGGGATGGCATCTTGGGAGACAAAATCTCAAGTGAACAGCTTGTAAGATTTGGGTGCCACTTCTAAACTACCTCATATCTGAACCCTCAGACTAAAGCTGACAACTCTAGCTCCACATACAATCACCACTTTCTTGGCCCAACTTCAGTTAATATGACATGGGTGCACAAGCAGATTCATAACAAACCATAAATCCTTCTACTCTTGAGGCAAACCGAAGTGCTGCGTAAAGATGCCTTAATGCAGTGGTTCTCAAAGCCGGTCCACCGCTTGTTCAGGGAAATCCCCTGGCGGGCCGGACTGGTTTGTTTACCTGTTGCGCCCGCAGGTTCAGCCAATCGCGGCTCCCACTGGCTGTGGTTTGCTGCTCCAGGCCAATGGGGGCTGCAGGAAGCGGCGCGGGCCAAGGGACTGAGGGTTTGGAGTTTTTTATTTTTAAGGAAATGGTGCGCATAGTTTGATCCTAAAGCTATGAGTTTCTTTAGGTTTGTCTACACAGTGGGATAATGTGGGTGTAGACACTGTTGGTGCTGTTTGAAACAGTACTACATTAAGTGCAGTAGAGAACTTTGAGTACACACCAACAGGGTCTACACAGACCAGTGTGTAACACATTAGTGCACTTCAGAAATCTCCTTAAAGCACATTATCCCACTGTGTAAACAAGCCCTTTGCATCATGAATTCAGTGTTAGCTTCCATACTGTGGTACATCACTACAGCCATATTGCCACCCTGATTTAGTAGCAACAAGTGATGCAGGAAGCAGACAGAGCTGTCAGAAACAGGGTTGACTGAACATTGAGGGTGTGTCTTCACTAGCAGCAAAGGCATGTTCTTACCACATATTAGCTAACACATGATAACTAACACAAGGCAAAATCCAACTGGAGGCAGTCTGTAGTTTTCCACAAGTTAGCAGGGCAAACCCTAGGCTTCTCCATAGGCTTTACCTCAACCTGCTAACTTGTGTTAAAACTACAAACTCTCTGTCTTCGATCGGATTTTACCTCATGCCAGTTACCACAGGTTAGTTAACACAGATAAAGCACACAACGCTTTTCCTAATGAAAACAAAGCCCAAGCAGCCAGCATTATATGCTGAGGCGCTAGAGTCTGTTTCCCTGCTATGCCCTTTGGCTTTCATTGCTGAGTTTTTGGTTCCTCACTAATCTAGCTCCTTCTTGAAACAGGATCCTTGGAGGTACTTCCATTCTGTTCAGAAAAGACCCTCAAAGCTGGGATGTCCAGAGCTCTTGGGTCTCCAAACTTGGAGCCTGATCACCTCCTTGAGGGGGCCAAACTTCCACAATTCCCACTGGATTCATTCAGAGATGAGGTTGCTCGGCACCTCTCATACCACACCCCCAACCATGTTTCCAATCTTTTGGGTCCAGAGAATGGATCCAGTTCCTTTGAGCTAATATTTTGAAAACAATGTTTTCCACTACATAACAACTGCTTATCCCAGAATATGTGGATGGCATGAGCTATAAATCTCCCACTTACCCACCCAGAGAATCATGGTATTGCCATCAGAGAAGGAATTACACATAAGCAATAAAATGCATTTCCCCACCACATAACTGGGAAAGCAAATAAGATAGAGGACGTTTTATAAGGTACATTCCACACTGCAGCACGTGCACCAACGTAGTTTCATTGGTGCAAGTTCTCTTGGCAGAAATTCCTTTATTTACTGACAGTTGCTCGTGATTTATTGTTTCCCACCCTCCCACTCCTATAATAAATGTTTGCTTAGCTTTAAACACACTATTATGGGTTCAGATTGTAAGATTTACCCTGATGGAATTTAACAACCTTTTCCTTTCTCAACAGCAGACTTGGTACAGTGAGTGGAATTTTTTTTAAATCTACTGGACAGACAGTACCTGGCTAATTTATCACTGGGATTTGTCCAGCTTCATTTCTTAGCTGTAGAACATAGGTACGTAGACTCTAAGCACTCAAGTCAAGAAATAGCACTTTCAGAAAGGTACCTACCTAATAGCTGCACCCCACGGGTGAGTCCGTACACGTCAATCAAAGCCCACAGGGGTTCCGTGATCCTCACCCCACTGAAGAACAACATTGCAGCAGAGTCATTGACCCGATAAAACACCCGGCCCTTTTTGTCCACCCAGAATGCTATGATGTTTCCTTCATTTGCAAACTCTTCTGGAAGGGCCTTGGCCCAGAATCCACTCTGAGAAACCAAGTCCGGGCAAGCATACTTTGGCAATGTGTCAGGATTAATCCGGGAGGGATCCTTGGAAGTAAATCCGAGGCGGAGAGCCCCACTCCAGCAACACTGCTTCTTTGTTATCTGCAAAGATAACAGCAATAAGAACATCTTGCATTCCAATAGCACTTTACAGGCTATGAGCTCCATGCCGTGCCACCCTGAAGGCCTCCTGCATGGTTCTGAGCACTCTCAGCTCCCACTGGATTGGGTCCTGTATGTTCTAGAATAATTTAATCCAACACTAAAAATGTTTGCCACTTCTGGGTAGGACATGGCATCTGCATAACAGCACACACATCACTGCAGAAAAGGTTAAAACAAAGTAAAAGAGACTGTATCAAGTTAAAACTACAGGGGGAATATAGTTAGCCCTGGCGCACGAACTAAATTCCATTTCTGGGGTAATTACATTCTGCCTAGCAAACCTACTCTTGGCAGACGCGCCAAAAAATCTTTTCTGGTCAGAGGATTTTACATCTCATATGAAAGACGGCACCTGCAGCAGCCCATAGCACTGTGCTAGGGCATTGGTTCTTTCTTGACTCAGGGTGCCTACTGAAAACCATTGCTGCTTCTTATAGCACCTTAAGGCTTTCCTAAGAGGTCTCCCAGCTACGTAAAAAACAATCTGGCGCCTGCTTAGCTTGTCAGATGGGATGACATCACAGCCCTACGGTAGCTGATTTGGATGCAGCAAAATGCAATAAAGCATATTTAATTACATTAACTATATAAACTGGAAATGACAGAAGTCCATTCGTCGCTGAAAAACTGGGATTATTTATTGCAGCAATTTCACTGCAAATCCTAAATCCTCCTGGAACCTAGATAATTATGGCCTCATTGTACAACTTGCTACACAATCTCTTGCCAATATTTTACACTAATCACATGCTACCCAAGTAAATATTCATATGGCGATATAGGGAGTATGTCCCATTGTATTCATCAGCCCTACAAATAACCAGTTGCCAACACAGGCTAACTATAGGTAAACTATAGGTAGTATCAGGGTTAAAATCTAGTGTACACCCTACCAAGCATTTGCATGGCTGGACACCCAAACACACTAATTTTTGCTTAAAAAAAAAAAAGGCAATGATTAATGATGGGCCAAATCCTCTACTCAGCAAACACCCCTATTTGACGGGCTTGGAAGGTCCACAGGGCGTGGGATGGGGAGGGAACAGGCCTCTGCTATGCCTAGACTGTCAAGCAGTAGCTAAGGTGTTCCATGATAGCTATCCCAGTCTGGGGCTGCTGCTTCCTACATCCCACCTCCACAGATCCACTAACTCTAGCCCGAGCCACACCCACTGCCTGGAATTCCACCTCCGAGAAGCTCCATCAGAACACAGATCCACATCACACCAGACATCTTCACTTGCTGGCACTCTGGCCTGCCGAACAACTCTGGATTCATTGCCCTCTGGGCTTCTTAGAAGACTTAGAGCAGCAGAGAAGGGTGTAGGACTAATTCTGAAATGACATCTGGCAAACAGGATCAAATCCCACAGCCCCTCACTCAGTCCTGTAGTGAGAGTTTTGCCTGAACAGGAGGAGCTGCAGGATTTGATGCATAGAAAAGAAGTTGGTGAGAATCTGACATAGAAAACACAAAAGCTTAGAGATGGCAGTTTGGGGAAAGAAAGACTGCTGGAAATGGACTCAGCAGAAAAAAGACACAGAAAGGCAAAGGCATTCTTCAGATTTATGTCAATCCCCAAAGCATTTTTCTGCTTATGCTTGTTGATTATTCATGTGCAAAATTCCCATTACTTTCAGTGGGAGCCCTGTTCATAAATCCCTTGTGCACAGATGAAAGTCCTGCCCGCTAATCCTTCATGTGCGTTTTATGGAAGATAAAATCCTAATATACATGGTCAAATACAAACATCGAGCTTCCTAGGTAGGGACAGGAGAACTGGTTCAGAACATAGAAATGACCCACAATCTTTGCCTAAAATGCAAACCTTTGGTGAGGTTTTTCAAAAACAAAATAATTAGTTAACTCTCATCTCCCATCCCAACCATCTCATCATTTGTCAGGGTCATTTGTCTCTGCATTTCCCAGCTTCCGACCAAAAATGCCATGCAACTAGATCAGTCCTGCTGCATTTCCAGCCTGCATGGAAGCAGGAAGAACCAAACAGAAAATGAATAGAAGCCTGTGTGAGGGATTTTTCCACCCAAGGGCCAGAGCCAGAGAGGTGTTGAGTTCTCTCATTTCCTACTAAATTCAGTGGGAATAAATGAGGAAGCTTGGCACCTCTCAGGAAGCACTCAGCTCCAAGTTCAGGTTCCACATTTGCAGACCCAAGAGCTTTGGATATTTCAGAGACACCCTCAGTCTTTTAAGGTCTTATCTGAATTGAAAGGAAGAACCTCCGAGCCTTTGGATGTACCCTAAAGGTGGTTCAGCCCCTAAAGAGCTGTAACTAAACCCCTTCGGCTCTCAATACAAGGAAGAGCACATGATCTACAAGTCAGGCTGCATGTGGTTTGAGTGAAGGCTTTGGTGCAAAGGGATATCTGGCCAGGAGAAGTGGTGTCCTCCAGGAGAAGCCCTAAGGAGCAATCTGTGTCGCCCTTCAGTGCACATTCCACAAAGGAGGCGAATCAATCTGGTCCCAGTGAGGGAGTAGGATTTCTGCAACCTCGTCTTCTCTGACCTTGACAGATGCAATCTTGGCCTGCTCATATCCCCATTGCTGCAAAGATCATTCTCCTGGCCCATCACTCTGATCATGTGACCCTTCTCTCTGCATCCCTCTACTGGCTCCCCTTTCTGTATCACATCAAACACAAGCTGCTTGTCTTCACTTTCCAGGTCCTTCATGACCTATACCCATCCTACTGATCTCTCATGCGCCATCTAGATGTCCATTCCCGCCTCCGACCGGCCCATGGTGCCAGTCTCCATCACCCACTAGTTACATTTTCAAGCAAACATATTTGTGCTTTCTCATGTGCTGCCCCTCATGCTTGGGAGGAGCTCCCTGAAAACATTGGCAAAGCGACCATATTACCCTCTGTCACATCCCTCCTTAAAATTCTCCTTTGCTGCGATGCCTACAAAAAAATAAACCTAAACTAGGGTTAGGCTGCTGGTGCGCTGACAGCGCTGCCTGTCATGCTGACCGGTATTGTCTCATTATTTCCTTGTATTGCCCCATCTATCTATACCTTTCTCTGGTCATATTGTAAGTTCTTTGCGGCAGGGACTGTCTTTTTGTTCTGCATCTGTACAGCACCTAGCAAAGTAGGGTCCTGGTCTATGACTAGGGTCCCTAGACACAATGATAAATGAAATAATTAATAAGAATACTAATAAAGCACCAGGATGGCACAGGCATGAGGTCTGTGAGACCAAGAGCCTAGGATTCTGCATTCCAGGAATGGGATGGAAAACATAGGAACATAAGAATGGTCATATTGGGTCAGACCAAAGATCCATCTAGCCAAGTATCTTGTCTTTCAACAGGGGCCAATGCCAGATGCCCCAGAAGGAATGAACAGAACAGTGAATCATTGAGTGATCCATCTTCTGTTGTCCATTCCCAGCTTCTGGCAAACAGAGGCTAGGGTCGCCATCCCTGCCCATCCTGGCTAATAGCTACTGATGGACCTATCCTCCATTAACTTATCTAGTTCTTTTTTGAACCCTGTTATAGTCTTCACAATATGCTGTGGCAAAGAGTTCCACAGGTTGACTATGCGTTGTGTGAAGAGGTCTGGTACTAGACCTAAGACTCCCCAATGGGCAACCTATCTCAGTGTTGATATATACTCACTATCATGAGCCATACTTTCCTCACCCCAGACTCCCATCTATGCTTTTCTGGGAACTATGTTATATACAAGTTTTGCTATAACTCACTCATATTTTACACCTAGTCTTTCCTGACAGTACTTGAGGCTGTTACAACAGCAATGAGGGAGGAGTCATTTACTCACCTTTAACCTGACCTGCTCGTAGATCACGATAGGCCTGTTGCTGAAGGTAATGGCGTTGCAGAAGCTGGCTTGCCGCTTCACTGCCTTCTGTGCCGTGTCCATGATGATCTGGGACCCCTTGGCATGGGGATGGAAAAGTAGCGGGCTGATTGACAAAGCTCCACACTGCGTGATGGGAAGACAATGCTTCTGCTTGTGGTGGCATCGGTGAGAGGAAGCCGGGAACGGTCCACCTATAGAGTCTGAGACAGCGTTTAAAAAAAGTGACACTTTAAATCTGATCTGAGTAATAATGGGAATCTCTCAGTGCCAAATCACAAGGCTAATTTACAGGGAACTGCAGTGTGCGATAAGAGCTAGTCTCAATGCCTACACTGTAAATCACTAAAAAGTCTTTCTACAGTATCTTGAACATAATAAATGTCTATAACCATATAGACAGCTGCCCTCTAGACAGTCTGATGATGCAGAGCATGACACGGGGAAAGCAGCTCAGCATCGGAGTGCATGGAAAGTTTCAGGGACACGTTTTCAGAAACAGAGGTCAAAACTCAGTTCTGAAAATTTACTTGCAAATGTGCACGTGCAACTGCATACCATTCAGGTGAACACATGCACAGACGGCTGGTAGTCCCCACTTCCAGACTGCTTCCCTGCCCATCCACCACCAAGATGCACCTACACCTAACCTGTCCCGCCACCCCTACCTTCCAACTGCAGCCCCACCAGTCCCTCCCCTTGGTTTGCTCCCAAAATGCTGCTGTATCCAGCGTCCTCCTGCACCTTGCCCGTTGTCTCTCTCTCCACTCACACTCTGTAATGCCATGTTCCAGTAACCTCCTACTGCCAACCCAGCTGGTCTCCTGCACCAACCAACATCCTTCCTCCCTGCTTTCTCCCCCCATGCTTCACCAGCTGCAACCTGAGGTGAGCTACCATTTTTACACCAAAAAGAAAAGGAGTACTTGTGGCACCTTAGAGACTAACAAATTTATTTGAGCATAAGCTTTCGTGAGCTACAGCTCACTTCATTGGATGCATGAAGCTTATGCTCAAATAAATTTGTTAGTCTCTAGGGTGCCACAAGTCCTCTTTTTCTTTTTGCAAATACAGACTAACACAGCTGCTACTCTGAAACCTACCATTTTTACACCGTCATTCAGGAATGAGGAGCTAATGGTTATGGTGGAGCAGGGGAGCTAAGAGGTGCATGAAGCAGGGCAGGGATTATGTGCATGTCTAGCCAGAGATCCAAAGAGACAGTTTATCAATTAATTGACCTGGTCACTGCAGTAGCTTTATTGGTTCATGAATGAATTGATTCATCTTCGTTTCTTCATAACATACAAAGCATGCAGCAGTTTGAACACAAAACAATCATTATGTCAAGAACAAGTCATCTGCTTCTTTCTCCACATGCACAATACTGTGTATATGTACACTGGTGGAAGGGTCCATAGAAATAAGATACAGACTGTCAACAGAAATAAATTGATTTGATGGTACATGAGAAACACAACCAAAGCAATGTTAACTCATGTGTTAACAATGCCATCCTGCTGTGTCAGTTTATTTCATAAATTACACACAACTAAATATCAATAATAAATTCTGTAACCTTCAGACTGCATGGGCTACATGGAAGTAAGCATCAAATGAAAACTCCTTGGGTAGTTTAGTTGGCCACAATGGTGCTTTTGTATGAGTACCGCAGAGTCATAAAAATTACTTGGGCAAAACTATAATTCTGCATTATCTCTAATCTAGACAGTAACAGATCATCAGAACTGGACCCCACTCTTTCCAGACATTGTGGTAGTTCAAATCTGTATCTAGACTTGGTTTCTTAAGTCTGTTATTGTACTGGGTCTGAACCAAATCCCCAAACTTTGGAAAAGTTTTGTTTCTAATCAGAACTGTAACTCAGCCTCTTTGCTAGTCTAGATGCAGACCCAAATTGCTCTTAATTCACCCTTTCATCACTTTCTCACTACTACCTATAGATGTGGCAGAAATGCCAAAATCTAGGACTTGTAAAACTAGACCAGGTATATACAGGCGAAGAATCCTGTAATAATCCTGCTTTAGCAAGGAGAGGGACTGGGGGACATACAAAACACACAGCACTTTCAACACAAAACACTCATTATATTGAGAGTAAGTCATCTGTCTCTTTTTCTCATATGCAGCCTGGTGTGTGGGCATGGGGGCGGGGCAAGGATGTTCATAGAAATCAGATAAAGAATACCAATTGAAAATACTTGATTATTTGACCCAATGGATTGGGAGCAGGTGGCTTGCAGAAGTAGCAGTTTGTGTGTGGAGTGTGTGTGGGGAACGGCAGCTGGAAAAGTATGGGGAAAGCACAGGTGGAGCAGCCAACAAGAGAGAGATAGAGATTAGTATTTTCTACAGGAATGTTGGTCAGATGTAATATGACTGATGGGGTGCATGTAGTCCAGTATCTTGCTCTGACAGTGGCAGGTATTTCAGAGGAAGGTGCAGAAAACCCTGCAGTAGGCAGATATGGAATAAGCTGTGGAGGTTTCTTCCTAAACCCGTATGTAGTTAAAGGCCCTGAAGCATGAGGATTTATACCCCTTCTAAAACTCTTAGATTTTAAAAAAATCATAACTCTGGTTATCCATATAAATGTCCAATCCTTTTTTGAATTCTACTACATTCTTGGCCTCAGTGATATCTTGTGGCGATGAGTTCCTAAGGCTAAATGTGTATCCTGTGAAAAAATATTTTCTTGTATCAGTTTTCAATCTGCTTCCTTTCAATCTCATTGAACACCCCCTTGTTCTTGTATTATGAGATAGTACCCGATCTACCTTATCTATACTATTCAGTATTTTATTGTGTCTGCTCATTGGTCTCCTTTCTAAAGTAAACAACCCCAGTCATTTCAATCTCTCTTCAGATGGAAGAGAGGCCTCTAATTTTTTCCAGGCCTCTAATTTTTCTCATTGCTCAACCCTTAGTTGCCTTTCTATTTCTGATATATCCTCCTTAACAACAGAGGCCCAGATCCTCAAAGGCCCAGATCCCATGGATGGGAGTTAGGCGCCTAGATATTTTTGAGGGTCTGGGCCAGGGTGACTAGAACTGAACACAGTATTCTAGGTGAAGACCTCCATCTCTAACTTCTATGACTCCTCTAAAATATGCATAGTCTTTTTGCCATTTGTGCAATGAGCCATGTGCTCCCAGTTCTTTTGAGAGAATATAGTAAATTATTTGGTTTCTAGCTAATTTAAAGTCAATTAAGTTAACTTTATTGGTAAAATGACAGATTCCCAAAAGCTAGATCCACCTTGGGAAAAGCTGCATTGACAAAGCTGCATCAGAGTGAAATTTTCCCCACAGAAGTTCACGTGAACATTTTTCAGACTAGCAGCCGTGTTAGTCTGTATTCGCAAAAAGAAAAGGAGTACTTGTGGCCTCTAAGGTGCCATAAGTACTCCTTTTTATGAACATTTTTGCTATTCCATTCTGAGGCATATCAAATTTTCTATTTCATTTGCTGTAAAATTTGCAAATTAAAAATGGCAAATATAAGACTGATGTTTACCTTAAAGAAATACTGAATTGTGGTTTTTTTGCTCAGGAGTGAGAATTTCCCCATTTTTACACAAAGTTCCTGGTTTTGGTGGAAAACCCTACAAAATTTCAATTGCTTTTTCCACAAAAATGGACCATTTTTGAAAATGTACAGCGAGATATGAAAAATTCTGGTTTTGACCATTTCTAGTTTTGTCTGAAATTTTCACACACCTCTGTGTGTTGGTTTCCAAAAGATACATGTGTGTGAAAGAGAAGAAAGTAACAGGAAATAAGGTCATCATTTCAAGCTGCCTTTTCTGGCTGGCTGAAGTGATCCCACCTAACTTCACTGTGTGACCTCGAAGTAAGTCATTAGTAGTTGATCACACTCAAAGGTCTCATTGGCTTCAGACACCACAGTTAAAAGCAGAGTAAAAGAACCTAAACAAAACATCAGGATCCGTCTCGGAAAAATCAAGGACAAGACAAAGGGGGAGTGATAGGGAGAGCTGTGTCTACTGTAGAAAAGAGTGAGGGCTGACATGATTACAGACTATAAATAAGAGTAATATATTACGATGAAAGGGAATTATTCACCACCTTGGAAGATGGCAGGAAAGGAGCAATGGCAGAAAGCTAGGGAAGGAAGTGTTTAGGTTAGCTGTTAAGAAATAATTCTAGACAGTGAGAGGAATTTAGCAGTTGAACAGATTTCCAGGAGTGAAGTCATTTTCACTGTGGTGATTCAAACAGAAGAGAGGATAAGATAGTGAGAATGAGGCAGTTGTGTAATCCTGATAAATGAAATGGGTCAGATTAGGTGAACCAAGTATTCTTTTCTGGCCCTACAGCCCAGCATGATTCGTTATGATCCAGCCACATCTGCCAACAAATTTAACAGTCAAACTCAAGGACATAAAAAGGATACGGAAACATTTTACTAGACTTGCATTGAGAAGCCGAAAGCTTTAATCTTATTGCCATGATTATAAGAACAGCTGTAGCTCTCTGAGGGACATCATGCCCTTTTAAAACATGGAAATGGAATGACCAAAACTGCTCACAGTTTTCCAAACAGGCTCCAGTAACAATGCTGCATATGTCCAATGCATCTGCTGTAGGAGCATTACACAGCCCTAGGGAGCTGTGCGATTCTACAGAAACGATATTAGTAGAACACTTATTTACAGTGACAATTTGGCACTGCAGAAAGCAAACAGGAATGAAGCCATCTTAGAACAATGCCTGAAAGGCTCATAATGTGACCTTTGCATTTCAAACAGACACTCAGTGCAACCCACAAGATCACAACCCTCAGGAATAGAGAAAGTTGACTTGGTAGTAGAATTTACTCTGAAACACATGCAACAGGTTATCAATACAAATAGAGAAGGCGATTCCCTTCTCCCATACCTTATTTAAGGACAAAATCTTTGGGTCCTTACTCAGGGAAGACTCCAATTCAATGGAAGTTTGCCTGAGTGAGGACCTCAGGAAATGGTCCTTAATAAAAAAGCGTGCCCAGACATTAATATGGTTGGTGCCTTGCAGTAATAATGGTAGTGATGGGCCAGATACTAAGGTCCTTACTCATTTTTTTCTGGGGCAAAACTTCCATTCCAAAAGTGAGTTAGTGTGATGGCCACCGTCTTGGCCAAGACCACAGATCTTCAGAGCTAAAACCATGAGTATC